ACAGTCACTTCTCGGGGGGGGGGTGTTGGGGTTGGGAGGTCTAGTGTGACACAGATGCTCTTCACAGGACTCAGCTCTATTTCAGGAAGGAGAAAGGCTCTGCCTGAGCCCCCCTGACTGGTTACAAACCACCTGGTGCCCCCCCCCCCCCCCGCCCACAGGCCAGGCAGCCACAAGAAAGGCTGCTGCTGCTCAGCGCGGGGCAGAGACATCAGGGGGGCACCCTCACTCCTGCCACCCACACAGCCTCCTGCCGCCCAGCACTCCTCTGTGCCATGCAGGGTCCACCAGGGGGTCCACCAAAGCCCTCCCACTACGCCCCCTCAATCACCAAGGAGGCCGAGCACCACTGCCGCAGACATCGTGTTCCATCTACACCTGGTGGCTGAGAGCCCACGGATGCGCCCCTCTGCTCCGAACGTTCAGCCAGGCCTGTCTTCTTGAAGCTGACTGCTTGTAGCACTCCCTGCTGTAGTGAATTCCACATGTTAATTACTCTTTCGGTGAAGAACTGATTGTTCTTATTCCACCAGATCTATGGAAGCACCACTGGACATCTGCCAGGAACTCCCCCCGCCCCCCCCTGGGGTCATGCCCACCGACTGTGTCCCCAACCCTTTACTTTCTTCAGCAAGGGACTGAAATGTGGCATTCACTGCCAGAGGATGTGGTGATGGCCACAGGAAGAGCTAGCTTTGAAAAAGGGTTAGACAGATTCAGGGAGGAGTGGCTGGCTACTAGCCATGGTGACTGAGGGGAACCTCCACATTCAAACACACGAAGCCTCTGAATCCCAGAGCCAGGGGGCAGGATCAGGGGAAGGTTTTGGCACCTGGGGCCTCTACGCTCCGGAGGAACTGGCTGGCCCCTGTGTGAGAGACAGGAGGCCGGACTGGATGGACCCTCCCTGGTCTGACTCAGCAGGGCTCTTCTGAGGTTCTTCTCAGGGGAAGGCCTCGGCCTCTCTGCCTTGTCGTTGGTCCTCCAGAGGGACTGGCTGCCCACTGTGTGTGAGACGCGATGCTGGGCAAGATGGACCCCCCCCCCCGGTCTGACCCAGCAGGGCTCTTCTGTTCAGACGTGACACCCTTGATATCTGGGCTGCCCCTGAGCATACTGACGTTTTTGCCACCTGCCAACTTGGTAGTCTACAGTACCCACCACAGTCTATCCGTGAGCTGTAGAGATACAAACAGTAAAGCAGGTCGTTCTTTGGGTGCATTCATACAAACTCCATAAGAACATAAGAGACGCCAATGTTGGATCAGGCCAAAGGCCCATCCAGTCCAACACTCTGTCACACAGTGGCCAGAAATACCAGTGCCATCAGGAGGTCCAGCAGTGGGGCCAGGACATTAGAAGCCCTCCCACTGTTGACCCCCCCCCCCAAGCACCAAGAAGACAGAGCATCACTTGCCCCAGAGCCCCTAGCTATACCTTGTGGCTCCATATGCTTATCTAATTCCCTTTTGAAGCTGTCCATGCTTGTAGCACCCACCACTTCCTGTGGCAGTGAATTCCATGTGTTAATCACTCTTTGGGTGAAGAAGTACTTCCTTTTATCCGTTCTAACCCGACCGCTCTGCAGTTTCATGGAGTGCCCACGAGTTCTTGTATTGTGAGAAAGGGAGAAAAGTACCTCTTTCTTTACCTGCTCTTTCCCATGCATAATCTTATAAACCTCGATCATGTCACCCCTCAGTCGTCTTTTCTCCAAGCTAAAGAGCCCTAAGCGCTTTAACCTTTCCTCATAGGGAAAGTGTTCCAACCCTTTTATCATTTGAGTTGCCCTTTTCTGCACTTTTTCCAAAGCTATAATATCTTTTTTAAGGTGTGGTGCCCAGAACTGCACACAGTATTCCAAATGAGGTCTCACCATTGATTTATATAGGGGCATTATTATATTGGCTGATCTGTTTTCAATACCCTTCCTAATAATCCCCAGCATAGCATTGGCCTTCTTTATTGCAGTCACACACTGTCTCGACATTTTCAGTGAGTTATCCACTACAACTCCAAGATCTCTCCCCTGCATGCAGTTAGTGGGAAGGCACGGACGGCTCTTCCTCCCCCTCTGGGCATGCTCAGTCTGAGCTGTGGGCCCCCCCCCCCCCCCCGGAAGAGATCGGAGCACACATAACGGTGAGCACTACCAGACCCCACCTCTGCAGAGCCCAGCAAAGTGTAAATGTGCACCCCCCCACCCGATGAACAGCAGCTGTTTTGCCCTGACTGTGCTCCAAGGAGACCCAGAGACTCACGTGCATCAGAAGCCCATTAAAGATTTTTATTTGTAAGTAAAACAACTGTACAAGATAGTTTTGTGTATAAAAGTGCAGACGCACCTCAGAAACACAATCCTTGACAAGCACACTCCCCCCGCAACAGCCCCTGCGCTTGTGCTTCAGAAGCACCAGCCGCACACGCCTGCCGCCCCCCCGTGCGCTCAGCCCCTCCTCCCCCCCCCGGGGAAAACGCATCTCCGCGAGGAGGAGGGAGGTCACTGGGCAGTGGCAGTGGCCGCCACGGCGACGCGGGGAGGAGCCGCGTGGGCGGCCGCCTTCTGGCTCCGCTCGGCCGAGAGGTGCTCCAAGCGCTCCGTGTAGAAGCCGTTGAAGTCCAGCCTGGGGGAGAGAGGAGGAGGGGAGGCTGGGGGAAAGGCACCCTGGAGAACAGGGTGGGGAGGGGGGCCTTGCTCAGGCGGGCGGACCCCGTGGCGGCTGTGGCAGCCACGGCCCCTCACCTGTAGATGATGTTGATCATGCTGTGCTCGCAGTCGCTGGTGCTGTACAGGCTCAGCTTGTCCAGGAGGTCCAGGAGGTGAGCCGAGAAGTTGCTGTCGAACTTGCTGATGGTGGCTTCGAAGCCCGAGGTCACGTGCAAGGCGTCCGCGTGCTCTGCCAGGAGCTGCAGGGCGGCCAAACACAGCGTCTCGCTCAGAGGCGGCGGAACCACATGCGTGGGCACGACAGTCACGGCGGCCAGCACGCCGGGCAGGGAGGGAGGCCTTAAACGGGACGAGGCCCCATCGGGGTCAGCAGTGTCCACTCATGCCGGCCGAGGTGTCTCAGGTCACTGACCACCTGACGCTTTGAGCTGCAGATGGCGGGGATCAAACCTGTGGCCTTCTGCATGCCACAGGGATGCTCTAACCACTGGGCAGGGCTATGCCTGCCGCTCCCATTCCCCAAGCGCCCCCCCCCCCCACTCCGTGCCCAGCCCCAAGAAGAGCAATAACAGAAGGCCTTGGAAGAATGCTGGCGTCGTGATCTGGGCTGTGCAAGCAAAGGCCCGGCAGGCCTGGGGAGCCTGAGTAGCAGTGGGAGGAGGCCAGGCCTACAACTCCCAGAAGCCCCTGGGAGGTTTTGGCACCCATTTTAGCCCATCACAGAGAAAGGGGACTTATAATGAAAGAGCTGGTACAGAAGGAGAGCTGTTCCTTCTTCCAAGAGGGCAGGGCCAGAGGGGGGGGGGTGCTGCTGGGAGAGACCCTCACTCACCCCGAGAGGAAGGGCGAGCAGACCCGGGCCCCACTGAGACGGTGAGCCAGGGACTGTGCGTCTAGTCGCGTTAGGGGCATTTGGTGTCTTTTCACCCACTTATCACTATTGTTCTTGCACCTTTCTTGTTTCCCCTACTGGGCTGGCCTCCTGTAAAAATAAACCTTCCATTTGTCGTTTACTCTGCCTGGTCCTCACGCCTACCATTCGGCCCAAACAAGGGAGGTCTGAAGGCCTCGGGGGTGCGGGGTGGGGTGGGTGCTCAAGGGATCCTGGAACCAGAGGGGTGGCAGCGTCAGGGGACACTCCCACCTGAGCCGTGGCAGCTGGAACTCACATCCACTGACCATTGAGGAAAAATGAATACTTTGCACATGTACAGGGATGAATATCAAGGAATCGGGGCTCACAGTGTCACACTGACAATGGCTAGAACAGCGTTTGAGTCCAGTGGGGGCGTCTTGAAGACCAGCAAAGTTTAATTCAAGGTAGGAGCTTCCATGTGCCTAAACACTTCCTCAGATACAGTGAAACAGAATCTCTTCAACCATTACATATTGGGGGGGGGGGTTTGGCTGTCAGGGAGGACCAGTTAGATTAAGGCAAGATTAGCATACAAACGTTAACATGCAGATGTGAATTAGATTCCCTCAGCTGTAACACATGCGGGTGTAAAAGGTCCTTCCTGACAACCACCCCCCCACCCCCTCAAGGGTCATGGCTGAAGAGAGTCCGTCCCCTGCCTCTGAGGAAGTGCCCTTGCACGCAAAAGCTTACCCCATGGTGTAGAGCCAGTTTGGTGTCCTGGTTAGGGGCGCAGACTCTAATCTGGGAGAACCGGGTTTGATTCCCCACTCCTCCACGTGCACCTGCTGATGTGACCTTGGGTCAGTCACAAGCTCTGGCACAGCTGTCCTTGAAAAAGAGCAGTTTCTGTCAGAGCTCTCTCAGCCCCACCCACCTCACAGGGTGTCTGTTGTGGGGAGGGGGAGGGAGAGGAGTTTGTAAGCCGCTCTGAGACACCTTTGGGTAGTGAAGGGCGGGGTATAAACCCAATCTCTTCTCTTCTTCTTCTTCTAAAACTCTGCCGGTCGTCGAGGTGCCTGGCTGCTTGAGGCCGACCCAGTTGCCCCGCCTGGGCCTCTCTCTCCTGACGCCTCCGGAGTCTCCCCCCGCCCGGCACCACGCGTGCGTGCGTGTGGGCTCCCCCCGCCCCCCCTTACCCTGCTGGCCAGCTGCTTCCGTGCAGACTCCTCCACCCGCTCCTGCTGGGTGGGCGGGCCCCGCATGGTCCCGTGCTCCACCGTGAGGCGGCCCAGCTCGTCATCCAGCTTCATGCTGTGGGAGAACCTCTGCGGGGGGCGGAGAGCAGGAGGAGAAGAGGGGGAATGAGCCCTGAGCCAGCCCCCCCCACGCCCCCCACCCCGGGCGGCCCTCCTCCCCCCCG